TATTAACAATAAGTAGATGTTATTTATCTTCCTAGTGCTCCCCCCCCTCCAACCTAAAGGAACGACGAGGGCGGTCATCGCGCTCCCCTCCTCCTCCTCCTCCTCCTCCTCCTCCTCCTCCTCCTCCTCCCCCCCCTCAAAGGACTTCTCCATGCCCAGTGTCGCACCTCATTGCGTATCCGCGATGCTCGAGAAGGGACGTCGACAAGATGTTTAGCATAGAGAGACCTGGAGTGAGCTGAGATTGAGAGCTGGGGAACAGATGTGGTAGGGTAGAGGAGGAGGAGGAGGAGGGTGGGGGGAGAGAGTAGGCAGAGGAGGGACCCAGGAGCGCGGTCCTCGTTCCCACCTTTCGATGTCCGCAAGGCGGGTAGGAGAGAACCCATGGTGCAGAGCGGCTCTCCTCCTCTCGTTGGCAACTTCCACCGCCTCCTCCCGTGACTGCTGAGCCTCCTGACTGTTCAGCAGCGAGTCCGTCTCCTGCCAAGTCCCGTCAGGGGTCGAAGTTCCCCCCCTCCCCGCCTCCCTCCCTCCCTCCCTCCAGCACCCACATCCAGCTCCGTCCAGTCCCTCAGCGCTTCGAATGCGCGGCACTTGGCTCCTCGCAGCATGCGCGGTCGCTTCTCCTCCACGTTGAGAGCGCTGCACGCCGGTCTAGTAAGCGCCGACCACCACCACCTATTCCTCCTGTTCTCTACTCTCCTCCTCTGCCCCTTCTCTACTCTCCTCCTCTTCTCTACTCCCCTCCTCTCCCTCCTCTCCTCTCCTCTCCTCCTCTCTCTCCTCCTCTCTACTCTCCTCCTCTTCCTCCTTCTCTTTATTCTCCTCTCTATTCTCCTCCTCCTTCTCTCCGTCCTCCCCTTTCCTCCTCCACATCATCTTCAGCTTCTCCCGCTCTCCCCCAGCCCCTCCAGTCCTCCCTCCCCTCGGACCTGAGCACGTCTGCCATGTCATGCTTCAAGAGGACAGGAATGACCTGACAAGAACGGTCACACTTCCGTCAGGTCAACAGAGAGGTTGATCGAGGAGACCATGATGGCGATCTTATCAGAGACGCTCGTGAGGGGAAGGAGGAGGAGGGGAGGGAGGAGGGAGGGGGAGGAGGGAGGAGAGGGAGGGGAGGAGGGGAGGGAGGGGGGGAAGAGGGAGGATCGAAAAGGACAGGTATGCAGGTCATCAGCAGGTTGAAGATCCTCCCTATTGCTGGTGCTACTCACCATCCGGAGGTCTGGAGCAGC